GACAGGTCTTTAGAGAGGGACAGCACAGGAGGGGAAGACCCTCTATGAGGTGGATTGATTCAGTGACTGGGGTAATCAGGATGGGTGTGTCAGAGGCAATGAGATTGGCACGGGATAGAGCACGGTTTAGGGCTGTTGTACATAGGGTCGCTATGAGTTGCAAACGACTAGATAGCACATAACAACAACAAGAGTCTTTGTTAAACTCTTTAGGATAATAAATTCATATGACACAATGATTTTACTTGTTGTATATTCTATTCAACAAAGATTAGTAGTTTTATTTCACTTGAGTTTTACTTTTCTATGCCTCTAATGGGAATTCTAGAGGCCTAGTGGGCAAGAATTTGTGCTGCTAGCATGGAGGTAGCATCTCTCTGGTTCGAATCCCCTAATGTCTCCAAAGGAGAAGGATGTGCAGTCTGCCTCTGAGATTTACAGCCTGGGAAACTTGCTAGTGTCATCTATGAGCTGGTTCTAAGTGGACAGCAATGACAGATACCTTTAACTTGAAAATTTTATTAAAGTTTTCAATCCCTTACAATGTGATTTTTTTTGTTGTTGTTATTATGTGCCGTCGAGTTGCCTGCGACTCATAGTGACTCTAAACCCTGCTATATTCTGTGCCAATCGCACTGCCTCTTACACATCGATCCCGATTACCCCAGTTACTGAATCAATCTACCTCATAGAGGGTCTTCCCCTCCTGCTCCGTCCTTCCACCCTCCCAAGCATGATGTCCCTCTCCGAGGATCTGTCCCTCCTTACAACATGTCCAAAGTATGTCAGACAAAGCCCCAGAATCCTTGGCTTCAAGGAGTAGCCCGGTTTAACCCTCTCCAGGTTGAATCTGTTTGTTTTCTTGGCAGTCCATGGTACATTCAACACTCTTCTCTAGCACCACAGCTCAAAGACATTAATTCTCCTTCTATCCTCTCTAGACATTGTCCAGTTCTCTGAAGCATAACAAGTGATTGCAAAGACCATGGCTTATACCAGATTCACCCTAGTCTCCAGAGACACACTGTTGCTCTTGAGTACTTTAGAGAGGTCCCTAACAGCAGACCTTCCCATCACAATACATTTTTTTTATTTCCTGGCTGCTGGTGCCAAAAGTGTTGACCATGGAGCCGAGCAAACTGAAGCTGTGAACAATCTCAATCTCTTCGCCATCCATCCTGATGCTGCTAATTGGTCTGGTGGTGAGAATCTTTGTCTTCTTGACATTGAGCCTCAGTCCATACTGAAGACTGCAGTCCTTGACCCTCTGCAGCAAGTGCTGTGATTTGTACTTACCATTTTCTTTTACCCAGTGCTTTTATATAATTCTTACTATCTCTCCTATTTTTAATTAATGAACTATTTTTGTCTTTTTTTTTTTTAATCCAACAGACTTTTATTGGGGACATCCTTTTGCTTGTCAACCCATTCAAGGAGCTTCCAATTTATTCTACCATGGTAAGTACAAAATATACAGGAAATAAGATAGAGCCTCACTTACTGAATGTTCTTGGGTCTGTTAAATGATTGAAAACTAAAGAGTGCTTAATTCAATTCATACTGCTTAATATAACTTAAAACTTAAAAACACAGTGAATAAAAACCTGGATATTGAATTGTTACATGAGAATGACAGTAATTTGTTTTGCATTCACTGTCATCATGTTTATTCTAACCCATAAGTGACCCTCTTATTGGATTTCTGAAGCTGTAAATAATACAGATGGAGACTGTCTGTGTTTTGGTGGTTTGTTGTTTTGTTTATTTTTTTTTTTCCTATGAAGCTGAACTGCTGTAGACTCCCAAGCCTTTGAGTAAGCAGTGTAACTAGCTGGGGG